TCCAGAGGGCCTCATAGCAGAGCCATCAGGATTAGGAACCACCCCATGACAAGTAGTTGCTTTGCAAGTTTTAAAGAACCTGGAGTTGCCCTAGCCGGTTTGGTTCAATGGATTGAGCATCAACCTGCAGACTGAAGGGTACCGGGTTCGATTCCAGTCAAGGGTACACGCCCCAGGTTATATGCTTGATCCCCAGTAGGGGGCCATGCAGGAGGAAGCCAATCAATGATTCTCTCTCATCACTGTTTCTATCTTTCCCTCTCCCTTCCTCTCTGAAATCAATAAAAATATATTTAAACAAAATAAAATAAAGACCCCGGAGTTAAGTCAGGTATACAGCTGTACCACAGTGAGGCCATGGGTTTGTCCCCTGAACCCTGAGGGTCAGGATCTGTGTTGTAGTCAAGGCAGGGGCAGCAACAGCAGAGGAACTAAGAGTCCTGGAGAGCCTTCTGGTATTAGAGGGGTGGAATGGCTGCCTTTCCTTCTCTTCTCTTTCTCTCTATTTAAACAACTACTCTTTCAGAAGTGACCACCTGATTGGCACCTCTTGTACAGGTGTGCTCACCCTCTTCAACCCTCATCCCTGGAGAATGTCTCAGCTTCACTCCAACACACAGATAAATTCTGGCAAAGACATCAGGACCACGTTAAAGAGGGCCCCGATACCATACTCTGCCTGCCAGTTGCCTAGAAACGCATGAAAGCTCCCGCTCTGGTACAGAGAAGTGAGGCACAACAGGCTCAGCAATGCCACATGGGGCAGCACAGCTCCCAGCACCATCCGCCGGGCACCCAGCAGCCACAGGTCAGCAAGTCTGAGAAACAGCAGACAGACCCACACGGCTGGTAATGGTGGGATGTGCTGTTCCTGGCAGCAAGTTCAAGTGTCATGTTCACCTGCAGAGGTGTGGATGAGAGTGCTCGGGCTGGCCTCTCAAGCAGCTGAGACCTGGCTTCAGACCCAGAAATGGAGCCTGGTGTGGTCATGTGGGCCTCGAAGATGGGTCCTGGGCAAGAGTTCTGCACAGGCAAGGACTCTGTGGTTTGAATCACCTGCCTGCTCTATAGGAGACACCACCCAGGCTTTCTTATCAGCTTGTTCAAGTGGGAGGCAATAGGGACAAGAGTGGCTGAGGCTCAAGCCGTCAGCAGGCAACCATGAAAAAATGCCTAGTCCAGCTGCTTATCACAAGGCAAGAAAAACCCTGTGGAGCTTGCGCTCTGCTGAGGAGTCAGCTGCCTGGGCAAGGGTGTAGAGGTCTGTGCAGACTCTGAGGTGTCAATGACTGAGCTGTGTGGCTCTGAGGGAGGGGTCATTCCCCAAAGTGTCTGTGAACCTGACTGCCTCCCTTAAGAGAGATCCCCTAGTCCCACTCCCTGGGCTCCATCAGCCCCACCCGCCCGATTCCTGGTGGTTCTACCTTTCAGGGGTCTGGGCAGAATCCAGGACAGGCTGAGTTGTTTGTGCAGGGCTGAGGGCCACTCCACCCACCTTCCCCAAAGCTTAATGGGCACCTCCCCCCTCAAGGGAGATCCCCTAGCCCCACCCTTCTGACTCTAGGTGGCTCCGCCCAGCAGAGATGGGCCTCCTGGAGAGTCTGGCACAAACTGAGTTGTGTGGCTCTAGGTCTGGGGCCATTTCTCCTTCCCCGGCACAACCCGTACAGAGTCCTCCCTACACAGGGCCAAATTTTTGTCTGTCTGCACCTGATAAACTCTGCTGGCCTCATCCTGAGGACTTCCCGAGGCTCTGCCCCACCACAAAGGTGTGCGAGCATCCAGGGGTAGTGGCTAGACTTGGTATACACTGGGACGTTTGCTAAGAAATGATCAAAACTGTATTGGAGGGAAGTGGAGTAACAAGTGCTGGAGGGACCAGCATATGTGGGCAATGAGTCTTAAGTTGGACTTTTCTATCCTGCAGATTCATTTTATTTATTTATTTATTTGTTTGTTTGTTTGTCCCACAAATGCTTTTCTTTTCTTTCTTTCTTTTTTTTTTTTAAATATTTGTATTGATTTCAGAGAGGAGAGGAGGGGAGAGGGAGAGAGAGATAGAAACATTAATGATGAGAGAGAACCATTGATTAGCTGCCTCCTGCATGACCCCCTACTGGAGATCAAGCCCACAACCCTGGCATGTGCCCTTGACCGGAATTGAACCTGGGACTCTTCAGTCCACAGGCCAATGCTCTATCCTCTAAGTCAAACCAGCTAGGGCCTGTAGATTTATTTTTTTTAATGTAGAAATTCATATTCTTTATTTTTATCTTTTGCACTTAGGGAACCATTCTAAGCTTTAATTCCTTTAAATAATAACAGGTACAGACCTGTTATAATAACAGATATAAACCACACAAAATGTAAATTTCCAAATCTCTTGCTAAGAGGATATTCATTTATTTTGCCCTTCCTCTACGTCTCACAAGGATATTTTCATGAATAAGTAACATATTCAACAATGCAATAGGGGTATGAGTTTAGCTCCTAAAATGTATTGACGTTTCAGAGCTTTACCTGAGCTTTTAATAGTTGTCCTCACATCAATTAAAATAAAAATGCAGCTGCTACCATTTTAAATGTTAGAGGTCTCTAGAGACATGCCCAGACAAACACTGATCTAAAAGTAATTAAAATGTGCCTGAAAACTTAAATACCTTCTTCACACATCTTGAGTTTCTATAGCCTAAAAAAAAGAAAAAGAAAAAACTATTTGCTTTTACAATTTCCTTGATTTATTCACCTTGTGCCCTCCAATTAACTGATATTGTCAGAATCCAAGCACTCAGGGAAACTAGATTCAAAGGCTGCACTATCCAGTGGATAAGGGACCCAAAGGAAAGAAACACATACGTTGGATTCAGCTCAGATGAGCAGCCTGATCCCCACAGGACAGAAGGAGAGCCACTTTCAGAAGGTTCCAGATGCTGTACTCTCCAGATTGAGACAGAAAGAACCCCTGGAGTGGGCCAGTCCCTGGGGGAGGAGTGAGGGGTAGATTCAAAGGCTGCACTATCCGGTGGATAAGGGACCCAAAGGAAAGAAACACACACGTTGGATTCAGCTCAGATGAGCAGCCTGATCCCCACAGGACAGAAGGAGAGCCACTTTCAGAAGGTTCCAGATGCTGTCCTCTCCAGATTGAGACAGAAAGAACCCCTGGCGTGGGCCAGTCCCTGGGGGAGGAGCGAGGGACACCTGAGCAGCCCCAGGAGTGAAGCTCCAACACTCTCGTCTCCCCGGGGAATAACAGAAATGTGGAGGCAACCAGTTGATGTCTCTCTCTCAAGTCAATGTTTCTCTCTCGGTGTCTTTTCCACTCCTCTCTCCCTTCCGCTCTCTCTAGAAAACAATGGGGAAAAATATCCTGGGGTGAGAAATAAAAAAGTTTGTTGTTGAACAATATGCTTTTTTAAAAAAACAACAACAATATGCTCTTTTATGCGGCAGCAGCCTCAGAGGCCTGGTGTTGGCTGTGCCTTCTGATGGCATCATTGCCTCCTGGGCTTGATGAGTCTGTTTTCTGTGAATTTCCTGGCCTCAGTGTACAGTGTGATACAGTCTACAGTCGGGTACAGTAACGTCCTAGGCCTTCATATTCACTCACCAATCACTGACTCCTGCAGAGCAGCCTCCAGTCCTGGAGCCCATTCAGGGTCAGTGCCCCACACGGATGTACCATTTCCTACCTTGGACACCACATTTTTACTGCACCTTTTCATAAATGCTTCCTACCACTGCATTACAGCTGCCTACAGTATTCCGTACAGTAGCGTGTTGTACAGGTTTTTAGGCTGTTGTATAGGAGCAAAAGGCTATACCATATAGCCTAGGTGTGCAGTAGGCTACACCATGCAGGTTTGTACAAATTGTGTAAATTGCCTAAGATGTACTCCCCAGGCTAAAGGGTATATGAGTGTATTTTTTTAAAAAAATTTTTTTAGTGTTAAGTTTTAATTGATTTCAGAAAGAGGAAGGTAGATGGAGAAATAGAAACATGTTTGAGAGAAAAACATCAATTGGTTGCCTCCTGCAGGTCCCCTCCTGGGGATGGAAGCCCCCAGTCCTGGCATCCTGACCCTGAATCCTCCTGATGCATGAGAGGACGCTCAACCAACTGAGCACACACCAGCTGGGTGTGCAGTTTCAACCTCTCCCAGGAATAAAATTTTATACCAATCACTCTGGAATTTCCTAATCAAGACTAATCTGCCTAACAAGGCTCCAGCTGTTCCTTCCCCTAAGGAACGGTGACCCCGCCTGAAGCAATCCTTCAATCTCCTAGGCAACTTCCTTTCTGCCTATTGTAAACGCCTCCCATTGTGAACAGCTCCTCGGAGATTTTATTTTCTAGATGGGATGCTGCCCTTTTCCCGAACGGGGAATCAAGCCAGTTAGGCCTTCCAATTCACTCAGTTGAATTTTGTTTTTAACGGTTTGAAAAGCACCACAAAACAAATAGCTGATAAGACGCTGTGACTCAGAGAAGGAAGATGGCGGTCAGGATTCGGGAGAGAGACTGGAAATGCAGGCATTTGCTGCAGAGCTAGGCCTGGGGGACACGGGGTGGACTTGAGAGCCTGCTCCACAAACATCAAAACTCAGGAGAAAACGGGGTCCTTCTGGGGAGAAAGGAGGGACGGGGCCCCCACTGACCACAGCTCCTCCCATGCACGAACCGCGGGGACCGAGTCACCATTGTCCCCAATGACCCTCCCCGTGCCTCCACGTGGTCCCCGCACCGACTGCGGAGCCGCGGGGATGAGGGTGCAGAGCTGCCCAGACGCGCTCCGCAGCCCAAGGCCCTGCCGCGGGGACACACTGGACGCCCGGGTCCCGGCTGGGCCCCACCCTGCGAGCCCGAGGGGCCTGCAGTTTCAGCGGAGCCCCCGGCGCCTCGGGTCCGCAGGCTCCGGACCTGACCGTGGAGAGACGGTCCCGCCACGGCGGCTCCACCCGCCCCTCCTCCCCGTCCCCGCGCCCGGCCGCACACTCACCATTTCTGGTTCCTGGGCCTCCGAGTCCGCCTGCAGCTCCCACCACCTTACAGATCGCAGCTCCACACAAGAGGGCAGAGCAACCTTAGGTTTTAAGGGCAAGAAAAGCGCCGGCCGGATCTCAGCCGCAGCCAGCAGGCCTTCCACGCGGTTGCAGATATCGGTGCCCCCACCGGCTCCCAATAGCCCCACCCACCTGGCGCCCAGCTCAGGTGACAGACACTTCTCAAAACATCGCCCCCTAGCGCCTGAGGTGCACAGGCCTGAGCCCGAAGCAGCCAGATCTGTCCAGGGACGTTTGCACTGAGAGGCAGCGCTGAGAGTCCCAGGGAACAGTGGTCCTTCCTTGCAAACACACACACTGAAAAGGCACCTCATGAACCTGGCTCCATTTTCATCTTTGTTGACACTGGAGTCTGACGTGTGGATTTGCAAAAAGGTGCACAGGCTCAGGTAGATGGGACGCATTAGGTGGGTATCTTTCCAGAACTACCGTCAGGTTCCCAAAAAGAGCATTGAAACCAAAAACAAGCCATCCTTTCCTGGAAAAAATA